GTGGATCATTTCTATTTCTGCTGAGTTCTGTTTGTTTTGTTTTTGGCCACACTGCACGGCTTGTGGAATCTTAGTTCCCTGACCGGGGATTGAACCTGTGCCCTTGGCAGTGAGAGCGCCGAGTCCTAACCACGGGACGCCAGGGAACTCCCTGCAGCATTTGATTGACTCTGAGGCTCATCCAGTGAAGTGTTCGTTTCAGATATTATGTTTTTTAGCTCTTGATATTCTGTTTACTACATCTAAAAAGTCGTCTCCATTTCTTTCCTCATGTTCGCGGTTTCCTCTGAATCAGCACCTCTGAATTCCTCTGAATCTCAGCACCCCTCTCTCACAGCTGACTCGGGGTCTGTCTGCAGCTCCGCCCGGCCTGGCTCCTCCTCTGCTCCCAGCGGCCTTCCTCTCTACGCTCCCCTCGCCGCCCCCCCACCGCCCCCGCCAACTCTGTCTCCTTTCCCCTGACCCGCTCATCCCCAGGTCCCTGTGACACCGCCTGATGTGAAGCGGCCTGCCAGCTGTGGAGCAGCTGGTACTCAGTCCATGTGCCTCAGTGGCTCCTTTAAAGCAGCCACAGTGTGGCGGACTGGGTGCGTGAGCAGAGCTTCTGGCGGCTGCACGTGGTCCACGCTCCACGGGTCAGCGTGCTTGTTGCTGTGCTGCTGGCACAGGTCTTCCCTAACGCCCGCCCCACAGGCTCCCCTGGCTAGCTCGGCGCACAGCGGCTCCCTCTTCAGTGAGCCCACTGCACGGGCGCTCAGTGTCGCTCAGCCTGGCACCGCAGTTTTGTTTTGCTATATATTCACCTGAGTGTGGGCGAGCCAGGCCTGTGAGCCAAAGCCCACCCCGGCCGGTTGTTGTGCAGCCCTCGAGCCGAGAATGGTTTCTACATTTTTAAAGGGCTATTTAAAAAGATAAAAAATAAAACAGTACATGACAGAGACCTGTAGCCCAAAGCCCCAAGTACGTAGCGCCTGGCCCTTTTCAGAGAGAGTTTGCCGACCCCCGGTCTACAAGGTTATCTTGACAGGGATTGTGCTTTTCCTGCCCTTAAGTTTAAAATTTGCATAGAGTGTAATTTCCAGTGTGCTGTAAATATTGACATTTAAAGGGGAAAGTATTATTTTACTCTTTAAAATGTTTCCAGTAGAATCTAAATACCATGGCTACACCCACCATCATGCATTAAAAAAATACATAATATATGAACAAGCTCCACTTTAATGGCTGGAAAATGTTCGTGGCTGCTTTTTCTCCTTGCATTCATATATTTTTATCTCACTTGTCTCATAGAATTTTATCCTAATATAAACATTCCTCCGCCTATAAGAATTTTTTCACCCTGTCATACTGTTTTGTAACTATGTATTTATATTTAATTATTTAAGAAGTTCCCATCACTGTGAGACTCCTGGGTGTTGAGCATTTTCTTTTGAACGATTGTTACAGTTGTTGTTTGTACCAGCTCCCGGCTCCTGGTTTTCTTCTGTTGCTGCCACTGCCCCTCCTGTCCCGTCTCCTGACCCAAGTCGGGGATGCCTCAGGGCTTTGCACTGTCCTTGGACCTCCATAGTCAGGCCCTTGGGGACCTCGCCAGCTCATGAAATCTGGATGCTCCTATACACAGCTCCCAAACCTCGCGTGCAGCCCTGACCTCTCCCCTACACTCAAGAAAGCTCTGTCCAGAAAGATCTGCCAGCTGCCGATCAGTGTCTCCACTTGGTTGTTGACATGAAATCTCAAGTTAATCTCAAATCCGATGTTGGACTTGGCGCACCTGTGCCCTCTGCGGTCTTTTTATCTTCAAGGTGACGGCTCTGCCCTTCTCCATTGCAGGGTCCAACAGCGCAGCGCTTCGACTCCTTTCTTCCCCACCCCACCCCTAATCTGCCAGCAAATCCTGGTGTTGCTACCATCACAGTATCTCTACTCCAGCTGCTCCTACCCTGCTCCTAACCAGCATGATGTTTCTGTGGTCCTGCCCCTCCTCTGCTCAGGCCCCTCTTGTGGCTCCCTGCCTTGCTGAATAAAAGCCAGCGCACTTAACAGTGGCCTGCGAGGCCAGGCCTGCTACCTCTGCAGCCGCAGCTTCCCCTTCCCCTGCCTCACCTTCTGACCTCTGCATGTGCCCTGAATGCATCAGGCCCTCTCACAGCTCTGTCACCACACTTCCATACCTGGAATGTTCTTCTCCCGGATACCCTCCGTTTCCAAGCCTTCACTCTCAGACCTCCCTATTTAAAATTGCAGCTCCTCCCACCTCCTGGCCCCTCAGCTCTTTCACTTTCTGTTATATGATTAACTTACTTACTTTGTTTCTTCCCACTAGAATGTAAGCTTCATGAGGGCAGGAAGGTCTCTTGCTGGTGGTGCCTAGAACAGTGCCTGACACATAGTAGCATTCATCAAATGTTTGTTGGATAAATAGTGATGGTTACTAAACAAAATAGCATTTCATCGGAAATGTATCTGAGAACGAGAGGCTACTCTTAGCATTTTTCTGATTTAGTTGATGTGCTTGTGAACGATGTTATTTAGTGCCAGAAAGAAGGGGTCAATACCAGTTTTATTCCTTCCTTTTGTCTTTGTAGGTGTAGACACAGAACTGCTTGTTCATATAAATAAGTAGGCAGGCACAGAAGGTGTTTGTTGTCGCCACGTCTTTGTGTCCCTGGACTTCAAAGTTAGGGACCAAAAATCATACAAGGTATTTTACTGTGGTCTTTCAGCTGATTACTAGATTAGGTTCCTTCTTCTATTTTGTTGAAAGCAAAGAGTTGGGAACCACCTGGTTGGAAATGGCTTTACAAACCCAGTCATTAGAATCCCTTTGTGTCACATTTTCCGAGGTACGCACCAAAACCACTTTCCTAAGACCTCCCAACCGACCGCTGATCATACCCATCATTCTTCACTTGACGGCCTCTCATGTTACCTGAAATATTCAGAAAGCATTGAGAAAATTGTAATATTAATTTCATCTTACCCCTACCAATATAATATTAAAAACAGGCTTTACAAAAACTCGTGGCTGCAGGTTTAGCTCATTCAGTGTGTCAGAAATTTCTGCCGTGTGCATCAATAGGCAGGACCAGTTCTAACTGCCAAGACTCTCTCTTTGGCGAAGCCTCTAAATTAAGATGTGTCTCCAACAGCTACCTTACTTCCGAGTTTAACCCCTAGTGGAGAGGTGAGGTGTGGGGCCGGCAGCACGCGGGGGAAGGCACGTGCCTCTTGCTTCTCGGCTCCTCTTTGCTTCTCATGGGGGTGAGGCATTCTTTTCCTGTAGTCCCATGGCTGACATACTAAATGAAGTCTAGTCATCCCTGCCGTCAGGCTCAAGGTGTGTCTAACTTCAAGACATTCCCGCTTGAACTGGGACATCTTATCTTTAGCGCCATGCTTTGCCCTTTACAGAAATGGGTGTAAGATAGGGAAAGGCACAACCCTGCATAGTGCCTCGATTCAAGGAGCTTTACTGTGACCAGTGCATCACACCTTGGTTCAGTGCATCATAGGGAGAGGCTAGATGAGCAGTAGACCGCCTTTTACAAGTGGGAGAAAGACAGTGAAAGGGGAGGTGGGAAGGGACAGGTGGCATGACTCCTTGACCTCACAAGTACTGTTGGGCAGATTCATTTCATGATAGGGCACTCATGGACACTGGCCATCTAGAAGTAGATTCTGTTAAAGCTGTCAGTGCCCACATACCCCGTGGACAGTGTGTCCTCCCTGCAGTACCCGTACCCTGGCTGGAAGACACTGGCGTATGGTTCCTGGCAGGAAGGAGGGAGTAGGCTCCAGGGCACAGAGGGCTCCCTGTGTAACACAGCGAGATAAGGCGAGTTCTAACTGCAGGACAGACATAAATGTTGACACAATCTCAACGCCCTTAAAGAAGAAAAATGGTTTTTTAGTGGTGGCTGGTTTGAGACCAACAACTTCCTATTAAATGTTCATTTTATATAAAAAGCTGAGGGAAGTGATAAAATGTAATATTGCTGATTTGTTCACGATGATAATATTTTAGAGGAAGTTGAACATTCGTTTTAAAGATGGTGGTAATTTTATCAAATTGTGAAGTTCAGAGTAATTTAACTCCTGTGGGGGGCATTCGTGCTGGAGCGCCCTCTGTTGGCAGCCACACCAGCAGCACTTGCAACTCAGCCGAGCCCACCGCCGGCGGACTCCAGGGGAGGCAGAGAGGTGGGCAGCGCAGCGAGGGAGTTGTGACTGAGCTGTGGGGTCTGCAGACCTGGGGGGGTGGGGGGGGACACGGCAGTGCCGCTCTGACCCTGGACATTCTTCTGTGTACCCTCCAGCCCCTTTCCAGAGGGCCTGCTCTGTTCTGAAGGGTGTACCAAGTGCTCGGCCAGCCAGCCCATGACTGCTGACCGGGCACAGTCGCTGAGACAGTGATTTTGTCTGTCTGGTTCACTGCCGTGGCCCCAGCCAGGGTCTGGAGCAGGGCCTGGCAGAGGGTCCACGCTCAGTCAGTGTTTACCGAGTGACTCAGTCAGTGTTTACCTGGCACGTGGAAGCCACGTGCCAGGCACCGGGGGGGAAAAAAGCAGTCAACACAAGCCTGCCTCCCCCGTGGAACTGACTTCTCATGGGGAGACCAGCAGCAAACAGGTGACCAAGTGCTGAAGCAAGGTGGTTACCTGTCATGAGCTGTGCTTGAGGGGAGGCACTGGATGCTGCGGGCCAGGACCGAGGGGCCGAGTGCGGGGAGGGGGCCAGTCTCCCAGGGGAGGCCTCCCCTTTCCCCAGGGCGCGTGGCCAGTGAGGAGGAGGGCGCTGCAGGTGCCAGGGAGTGTGGGCTGACTTGTAACCGTCAGGTCGGGGCGAGGCAGGTGAAGTAACAAAGGAGCCCTGCAGTCCTCTTTTTCAACTCTTAATTCTCTGTATTTGCCATATGCTAACATAGTGTTTGCCTTTTGTTTCCTTTTTTTTTTTTTAATTTAAAGGATTTTTTTGTTTTGTTTTGTGTTTTTTGATAGATGAGGGTTACTACCAGGGTGGAAAATTTCAGTTTGAAACTGAAGTTCCTGATGCGTACAACATGGTGGTGAGTAGCCCGCGCTTGAGCCGTTGTTCCCCCTTCTTGTGGCGGGTGGCCGTCACAGGGCCCGGCAGTCCCCCCGCGTTGTGTCCGAGTGCAGCCCACCCAGTCCTGGGACTGAGCACAAAATGGCTGACATTTGTGTGGTTAATGCCCCTCATCAGCATTATTGAGAGTTTTAGTGGAGAGGTTCCTTCCTTTTCTCAACAAGTGTTTGCGAATACTGTGTGCCAGTATGTGCTGGGGTGCAGCTCTGCCGAGGTTGGAATTACCACCCCGAGGCTGGCACCTTTACAGGGGGCTGCTTGAGTATTTCATGCAAATCTTGTTAGATTCTGGCACTGGAGAAAAGAACATTTTATTTAAAACTGTAGTTTTGTTTATGGTATAACACCACAATTCCAGAAGTGTATAAAATGTGCGTTTTAGAATTTTGGAAAAGAATAATGACCTGTAGTTTCAAATTATGAGTGATTTACACCCCTAGCTACACATTGATCCCTCCAGGACCCTCCCAGTAATAACCGTGCCAAGTGCTGTCACATCTGTCTTTGCTTTTAAGGAACGTGCCGACCCATTAGGAAGGTGAGAGAAAGTGTAGAAAGTTATCATAAAATGATAAAAGTGGTAAGTAGCAGACAGTGATATTGGTTAATAATAGGAAAATGCTTTAGAGGAGTTCAGAGAAGGAAGAGAGAGGGTCACTTTTGGAAAGTGGTCGGGGCCAGTTAAGCTTCTGAGGAGAGCTAGAATTGGAGTCGTCCTGCCTCGGGTTGGCTCATGCACAACTAGGGCGGGTGTTCTAGGTGACGAGGACGTCTCTGCAGCTGTGTCAGCGGGTATGGAAATGAGGACTGGCAACCTGTGTACAGGTCAGGTTGACCAGGTCTACTTGAATGAAGAATCAGGGCTGGGGAATAGTGGAGAGGTGAGAAAACTCAGATTTGGGGGGGTTGGGGCATTTTCACTGTGGCTGTGAGAAGTCATTGAAGGTTCGGAGCAGCACTGCACACCCCTGAGTCGGGTGCTGGAGTGGGCGTGGTGCGCGGGCCCTCTCCATCCCTGAGCTGCCGAGGTTGGCACGTGGCCAGCTCTGCCGATGTGATATACATCTTCCCCCCGCTGATGTTCCTCAGCCTTCTCTGGCCTGTCGACTAGGAAAGAAAAATCTGATGGTAAAGTTCAGTCTCCTGTTAACCTGAGGCTGTGGGAATCGGGCACAGCGTGTGTCCCATTGCTTTCCCTGCAATAACTGCTCCCTCCTTTCTGACAGGGGGAATCACCTGCTCCCCGCGACCTCGGCCCATCTCCACCGCCCAGGTCTAGTTTAGTGGCTGTAACACTTGTTTGTTTAAAGCCAAACTTTTATCTATGGAAATTGATGGGCTACTGTATTAAAAGTTCTTTTGGAAATGTAATTTATGAGGATGGAAGAGTTAGCAATCCAAGAAAAACAAAAAATAAATTTAATTTTTAAGTGAAGACAGGAAAATATGCATTTCAGGTCTTTGTCAATCCAGCCAGCCAGCCACCCACTGAGACTTCCCCTGTTTCCCTGATCACCAACCGGGGAACCTGGCCTCACAGAGCACTGCACTCCCTCAGGTGAGAGCAGTTTGAGAACTTGGTTCAAGTGCGCACATATTAAGGATTTGGGGCTGTTTTGATGGTTTCTGGAAACAACCTGATGTGCGGTACTTAAAACTCTAGACTCTCTAACCTTCTGGACATATGCCATATCTGTGGGTTACTCATCTAGAGAATGTTAAAATTAAACGGCGGTGAGTTCGTGACAGTCTTCAGAAAAGCAGTGAATTTGGCGGGGCTGAGAACCGTAGTTCGGGTGCATTGGCATCATTTAATGGCAGAGTGTCTTTTTCCCAGTGTGAGGAGAAAGCAAAACCTCAGAAACGTCAAGGAAGGAGCAGAGTTTTGTCGAGGGCTTCTGTGTGTCAGGTGTCTCCACTCAGTTTTACCTTATGTCACTCTCCAGTAGTTCTCTCGGTGACATTAATGTTCATATCTTTACCCATCAGGAAGTTAGGGCTCAGAAAGGTAAAGTTAAGAACTTGTTGGCTTTGCCGGTCTAGGTGGCTCAACTGCCAAAGCTGATTCTTGTCCAGAGCTGCCCGGCTTCCTAATGTGTGCCCTTCCCACCACACCTGGTGGCCGCTTGGTAGTGAGAAAATGTTTGTTATACTCCCCGTTTAAGAAGCAGAGAAGTAGGAAATGAAATAAACAGAGGATAGAAAGCCACTGAGTCTCAAAGACACTTTTCCTGTATTAATTGGTGGCATATAAAGACCTTACATTTTTATGTTTTAGTTTCTTTCTCCTTTGGAAAATTTCTAAATGATGGGCTAGTCCTGTTTCATCAGGAAGGAGACCCATGTTCTCCAGCCAGGAAGCACTGAGAGGCCAGGCCCTCGGGGCTGTATCCAGACGCCACCCTGCTGCCGTGAGGGCCTCTCTGCCTCTCATCCAGGCAGAGGTGGTGCAGCTGCCTTAACCAGCAGGCCAGTGAGGTTCACAAGCTCACGCAGGGTGCACAGGGCAGCCCGGACCCCAGGGAGCATGAGGTGACGCGCTTCAGTGATACACGGGTAGTTGTGTTCACCTTTTCTGCGGTTAAGCTTTATCTACAGAATTCTTCTTAGCGTCTTTCTTCACTAGACCATCTGCTCCCTGAAGAGTCTGGAGGTGTCTTAATCTCACTGTATTTCCAGCGCTGGGCGGGGGCTGCCACACCAGGCATGCAGCACGCATTTATCCAGTGCTTGGCATGCTCTCTGCCCCCCAACAAGGTTATGATGTTGCAGATTAAACCAGCATATGAAAATACATAGGTTACAGGCAAATGGGGTAGAGATTATGAGAGCTGACTTTAAGGAATTCATGTTTCATCTGGATGAGGAGATACAGCCAGTTTTTAGCAAGTCGGCCTGAAAGGGCTTCATGGAGCTTTCTCAGGACTCATCTGCTTAGTGCCGTAACTTACGTGATTTCTGTACCTCATAGGGAGTTTGTTTTTAACCCCTAACACTTAGAGTTCCTGTAATAAGGTCAGTTATTAAAGTTGTGAATGGAAACCTGTTGAGCAGTAACGTAGATCATTATTTTAGAATAAACTTTTTTTAGAAAAGAAAGAATACACCTATTTGGTGTCCCCCTCACCCCTCACACCCCTCTGCCCCAGCAGCTAACAGGCAGATATTTCCTCTGGGTCTTTGTCCTTTTTCCCCTGAACTTTATCTCACAGTCTCCGGCTGCCTCGTAATCTCTCTCAGTCCTAGAAATAGGCTGCAATGATGGACTGACGTTTAATGAGCTCCTACGATGCGCTGGGCTCTGTGTCAGACACTGTAGAGGCTGGAGATGAGAGTCGAGCGGCCTTTGAAGAAGCTCAGCCTCTGGACACAGACACAGCGACGCGCCAACGAGACAGGGGCGCCCAAAGGAGGCCTGAGTGCAGACGGCAGCTTGGCCGTGATGCGACACAGCCCCAGGCCTCACGGTGCCCCCATGGCATTTTGCTGTGAGTGGTCAGAGGAAACCGTGTGCTGAAGCAGGAGAAAGGAATGTGGCTTTTCTCTCCCCCTGGAAGTGAGGTTATGTGATGCAACCACATCGAGTAATGTGACCGTGACCAGCCCCGAAAGGCGTCAGGAAGGGCTGCCCTGCCACGTTTCCAGAAGGAGGAGACCCGGAGGTACCACAAGCAACGCTTGACTGCCCAGTCGCCCCTCTTCCCTTTACGTAATTTATTTTACTCTGTGGAAAATTGAGAAGACACCACTATGCAAAAATAGAATATTAACCACCTGTTATCTCTCCATCCAGAGATGATCACCGTTAACTTTTTGATGTATGTTATGCACAATATATAATCATACATACGAGTGGGATCACGCTACACATAGCTTGGTAACTTGGGTTGTGTTTTAACATTATAGTATAGGGCAATGTGTCATCATACCGTGAGAACGTATGTTCTCATGTCAATTAATATATAATTACGTCATCGTTAGTAAGACCACTTAACTGTACGATGTATCATGATTTTAAGCTAATCCTTTATAGTTGATCACTGGCTGACCAATATTTTGATTATATGAACCAGACTTTATGTAAGGGGCAAAATAGTAAATATTTTAGGCCTTGTGGACCATTTGTGATCTCTGTCGTATATTCTTTTTTTTAAACAACCTTTTAAAACTGTGAAGGCCATGCTTAGGTTATAGACCACGTGAAAACAGGCCTGCCTTAGTTGGTCCATGGGCTGTAGATTACTGACCCCTGGAATAATGTGATACATGTCCTAGACAGCAGCTTGTGCATGCCTGCCACTGTCTTTGGATAAATTCTTAGAAGTGGAATTACAGGTACTGAGTAACTGATGCTAATTTTAAGGCTTTTTATCAGTACTATCCAGTTACCCTCCAGAGAGTTTTTCCAGTTGACATCCCCACCATCAGTGTTTGAAAATTCCCTTTTTCGTAAACCCTTACCAACATGGGATATTTTCATTATTTTTTTTCTTTTTGCTATTTTGGGAAGAAATAAATGGTATCTAAAATGTCGTTTGAATTTTCATTTCTTAAATAAGTAGGATGCTAATTCTTTTTCCTACTTATTAGCTTTTTATGTCTTTTATGAGCTGTTGTTATGTGCTTAGCCCTTTTTTTCTGTTGAGGTATTTTTTTTATTATAAGAGTTCTTATATAGAAATTATATGAAACTTTTTTCTTAGTTTACTTAGCTGTACTGTAAACATTTTCCTGTTTTTCATTTTTGTTGTTCTATAAAAGTTTGTGTTTTTTTGTTTCACCACTGTAGTCTAATCTGCTTTTCCTTCTTGAATTTTTCATGTTGTGAAATGCTTAAAACAGGCCTTCAGACCCCGATAACTCATCCACGTTTTCTTCGAGTCCTCTTAGAGTTCTGTGTCCTTTATGTGGAATAAAGCTCTAAGTGAGTATCTAACTGTACTTTTCCGAATGGTTAGCCAGTTGTCCACTGAAGAACCCCTGCTTCCCCATTGATTTGCACTGCAGTCTTTGTCATATACTAAACCCTTAGCTGTGTGATGGGATGGCTAGTCGTGCCACCACTGAGGTAGGAGGTGGAGCTGGTATTTCTTGGTCTTGCTTTGGGGCCGGTAAGGGTCTACGAGAATGGTTCAGTTTGGAAAGTGTGTGTCAGAATCCAGGACCACAGTTCTGGTGCAGAGGTTTGCTCTCTGTGGGGGACCGCTGTTACGAGGGCCATTGGCCCGGGAGGCGGCTGCACCAATATCTAACTGTGGACGGTGTGAAGGGACAAGGAGGAGAGGGGTAAGTGCAGTCGGACCCTTGGAGCCGCGTGGACACTCGGCGGGGCGACTGTGTGTCGGGGCCTCAGAGGAGGGAGGGGGTGAGCCTTCAGTCGCTTCAGATCCTGAGTCCGTGATGCACTCTCCCCAGTAGGTTACCTGCGTTCAGTGTTCATTAGAGAGATTGACCAATATGTACAGCGCCATTGACGCTGACCTTCCCTCTTCAGCCTGAAGGCCTTGCTGAAATTGCAGGCTGTGCTAGCATTCCTTCTGTCAAATGCATTCCTGTTTACTTGCAGGAAAGCAAATTAGCGTATTCAGTTGATTTCAACTCACTCTGAACCTAAATTCTGTAATCCTCAGACGCCTGCATCTGCATGGTTGGATTAATCATTTCGGGGAGTCTAGGTGACATGACATATTTGACATTCTGATGTCATGGTGTTTTGAAATCAGGAAGAAAACTTATGAGGGTACTGAAAACTATGTTTGTTTTATACAAATAAGAAGCTGAAACTATTAGAGCACTAGAAATAGCACAGGAGAGAATCTGGACGGCGAAATATTCTCTAGATGGTTATCAAAGATAAGAATTTGATGATGAAGATTTTGTATCTGTGACACGAGCTGTCTGGTGAGATTCTGTGAGACGACTGTCAAGCTCCTCAAAGCAAGGCCACCTCGCGGTGGAACTGGGCCTGGGGAAGAGGTGCCCGCGCTGCAGGTGGGGTGGGCTCGCGGCCTCTCTGGAGGCAAGGGCACTTGGCGCTGAATGTGCAGCCTGCTCTCTGGCAGCCCCTCCCCTTCCTGGCCTTCATCCTGGGGAAATATTTCATATGGATGTGAATGAAGACAGCGTTGATTTAGCAGGTTTGTAGTGGAAGTGGGAAGCAACCTAAACGTCCAATAATAGGGAACTGGCTTGTTAAATACTAGTGTTTGTACCTTGGAATGCACAAAAGCCCAAAGTCATCTGAAATGGTGATAAAAATAAATGTGGAAAAGAAATATATAGCACATTTCCCTACTTCTGTAAAGAAAAATGAATGCGCATCACACACACCTGTGTGTCGCCTAGAAAAGAGGCTCCAAAATATGCATCAGGTATTGATAGAGATTATTTCTGGGTAGAGTTTTATATATCTCTATATCTATAGATGTATAGATATCTTTCCTTTTTGTTTTTTTCTTAGATGAGTATGGATTGCTTTTAAAACAAATAATGTTAAAAGAACAGTTTTATCCAAACACGCTTCATCCTGAGTACTGTTGATGTGCCTTATTCCCATGTACTTGTGTTCGTTCTCTCCTCCTTTAAGTATAAAGTGGGCTAGGACTTGCACCTAGCAGAAAGTAAACGACAACAATGCCTCCAGAGACACCCACAGAGGGAGCCAGCGCTGCCATGAGGGGCAGCATTTCAGCCGTAGCTCAGCTACTAGCGCCAAGGAGGCCACGGGCTCCCATAGGCAGTGGGGCCTGGAGGGTGCAGAGCTCCTCCCCGGAGGGCACCGTGGCTCCTCCTGCACAGCCTAGGCCCAGGCAGGGTCAGAGGATGCAGAAGCCCAGCCGCCGGCAGCCCCGGGCCCTGTAGAGGGGTCCTGTTAGGGGTGCGGGCAGGCTTTACCCGTGAGAGCGGCACGGTGCATGCAGTGTGCAGACACTGCTGCGGGGGTGACGGAGCCGGTGCCTGGTGAGCCAAGTGAGCGCCGAGACAAGGCCCTAGGCGGGGTACATGGAAGGCCCTGGAGAGCCTGTGATCTCTTCCTTCTGTGTTGCAGCCTCCTAAAGTGAAATGCTTGACCAGGATCTGGCACCCCAATATCACAGAGACAGGCGAGATATGTCTCAGGTGAGTTTATCTCCATTCCCGTCTTCCGTGTTGTGAGCACCGTGTGTGAGTGATGGGCTTTCCCCCGAGGGGAGATTTTGAGGCTGGGCCAAGGTTAGGGAGGCTTCTGGCTGCACTCAAGTAACTGGAGTGGCCTCCCAGCTTCCCCATCCCAGCCCGGCCTCTGCAGTCCACCCAGGTGCCCCCCCCCCTCTGAGGGCCCTTACCCTTTTCCCTCCATATGGCTGATTCTAGCTAAGAGGGGAAAATAGGAGTAATGGAATCCAGGGTGGGGGAAATGTGGATGGGAGGCTTCAGAAGACCCAAGCCCTTGTATTTAAGTGTCTTCTCTTTCCCCAAATAGTCTTGATGCGCATAGGAGCACTTTGGTAGCAGGATAAGCTTTCCCAGTTGTGCCTGGGTCCCCACCCTTCCAATGGCAGATGGTCAGGGGTCAGTGACTTCCTGCCGCCTAAGCTTGCTGGTCGCTAACGTAGAGAACTGGAGGAGTTGCGGAGGGTGTTGGTGGTTGTCATTTTTAAGTAAATTTAGCTTGTGGGCTTTATTTTTCTGCGTCTTGCGCTTTCTCTGGTAGGGCAGTGAGGTTAACTTGTAGGGGCTCTGGTGCTGGACCCCCGGGCCAAGCCCCAGCACCACCACTGCCGGCTTCGGGACTGCGGGAACCTGGAGAGCAGGCAGACAGGGTTTCTCCGGCGGCGTGTTCTTTGCTTTCTTACTGCGAGCGAGTCCCGCCCAGGCCCCGCCTCCGTATCCTGTCCTTTTACGCTCCTCTCCCCACACGTGCACTGTGGTCGCTCCTCCCTGCGAGGATGACCATTAGGACTCGTCTCCCCATTTTATTTTGTATGTGGAGCCCCCTTTTCTTTCATATCAGCTTCATTTTTTTAATAGATAGTTAATGGGAATTCCCTGGTGGTCCAGTGGTTAGGTCTCCGTGCTCTCACTGCCAAGGAACCAGGTTCAGTCCCTGGTTGGGGAACCACGATCCCGCCAGAAAAAAAAAAAAAAAAAAAAAGATAGTTAAAAATACACTTTATAAGTCAGTCATCTTCCCTTTTAGTATCTGTCCTTTAAGTATTGAGACTTTAAAAATCTATGATCTTCAGGCCCAGATTGTAAGTGGTTTCTGGTCCGGCCTTGTCTCCCCAGGCTTTTCACCTGTGCCCACTCTCCTGGGGGCTCCCCACACTCCACTTCCTGTCACGTCCCCTTCTCCGGTCAGAATTAGGTCCAGAGAGGGCATTTCTCTACTCACTTTTGCAGTCTTCTGAGAAATCAGATTATTAGCAAAGGATAATAGGAATTTAACAGATGGTTAAATGTAAATTTGGTCAAATTTGTAATTAAATTTGGTTAAATTTGTAGCCTGCTACAAAAGACAGAAACTTTAAAGGAAAATCATTGATAGGTTTAGACACACTAAAATTTAAAATACAAAAGCACAAAATTGAAAGAGAAAAAGATCAGCAAGATTACATCCTTTGTATGTAAACAGTCCTTTCAATCAATATGAAAACGATGGGACGTATCCACTGGAAAAATGAGCATTGACTACAAGTAGGTGATTCATAGAAGGAGAAACACAGCGGGTGGTAAGCATCTGCTTGATGCTCAGTCTCCTTGGTGATCAGAGGACACGTGGAAGCAAGGGGACGCCGCTCACCACTTCTCAGACTGGCAGATACAAAAGCAAAGTGTGTGTGAGAACAGGCTCCCTCGTTCCACTGGAGGGTGCATGTACCTGTACACCTTTCATTGGTCCTTCAGCCATAAGGCCTACATTTAACTTGTATATACCCTCGGACCTGTCAGCTGCACCTCTGGGAATTTAACTGAGGGAAGTAATGTGCCAGGTTTATGTACAAAGACTACCTCTTTGTGAAAAACTAGACAGTGTCCAGCGATGGTTTTGGGCACAGCCGACTCATGCCATCTCCTGAATAAAGGAAATGACGTGCCTGGCGCTCCATGGGGCCTGGTCTAGTCACAGGGGTGCTTGCTTCTCTTCGTAAGACTTGCTCTGCTCCCACCGAGGGCCCACACCCTGCTCTTGGCTCAGGGCCAGCAGTGCTATGTCTGTGGGACTGGAGGGACCACAGGGCCCTGAACCCGGCGGTTGCACTTCAGATTTCTGTTCTCCTGGAACCCGAGTTTCCAGTGTAGTCCCTGGGGCATCCTCTGTCCCCTTGCCTGTACCCTCTCTGATGGCCACGTGGCTGTCACCTGAGCTCCCTTGGGACTGCCATCTGCTCAGGCTGGGCCCGAACCTCTGTGGTGTCACCCTGCCCAGATCTGCGGCCCCCAGACATGGGCACACCTGGCCTCCAGGGGCAGAGTCCTGCTCTGTCTGTGCTTGTTGACAGGGAAGCTCAGAGGGCGCTGACTGGTCGCCCGGTCTGCCCGCCTGCCTTCCATCAGCTAATGTTGGTTGAGCCCAGACACAGTGGGGAGCAGCTTGCGTTCTCTGCTTTATGGGGTCTGCCAGCTGGTGGGGAGACAGGCACTAAACAAGTAAAATTGCAATAAGGTCTATAAATGAAAAGGATACGCTAGATCAGAAATAATTCTTTCCCCTGTCTTAGTAAAGAAGTCTCTCATTGGATCATATAAAGCACCAGGATTGGGCAGTTGTCTCCCAAAAAGTTATTCAAAAGTTGTAGAGATTTTATCTCAACAACTCACTGATACCTCTGCAGGGTGGAAAGACGTCCCCCGGGTAGATGGGAGGAGGGTGCATGATGGGAGTTTTCTTTTTAGGGCCCGAAGTAAGCTGTAGGTTAGTTTTATTTATTCTAACTGATCTTCGTGGGCAATTAAGATTATGGCATTGATTCACATTCTGCATATTTGTATTTTCTCCTGATCGTCATTGATTTTTGTGAATTTGAACGTGTTCTGATTCAAAAATTTTCTTAACGGTAACAAGTATGACCTGGAAAGCCTCATACTGCCGTGTTAGCTTAGGAGCTGTTAGGTTCAGGTGAAAGCAACAGTGTGATATAATTCAACAATGCCAAGCTCCTTTTTTCACCAGAAGGAAACTAGGCAGTAAGTGGTAATTTTTCAAAGTATGGAACGGTTATTTATATGAGAGTATATGCTGTGCATTTGCGGTTGATAGAACAGTCATGGAAATGACTCTTAGGTCAGCTCAAATCACATACCCCTGGAGCCCACGTGACCTTTCCTGAGCGTGGTCCTCCCACCCACGGGTGAGCACCTTCCAGAATTTTGTGTTAATCTGCTTTTATTTTTTAAACAGCTATCAAAATCATGGGCTAGGTGCTCACGTGGGTGTGAGTCCACAGCTCCATTTGGGGGCGCGTGCCCTGGGGCAGGTGCTGCCCTGTGCCTTGGTTTCTCCTCTGTAGCATGGGACCCCTCCCTCTTTGGTCTTGGGGCACGGGGTGAGTGTGGGGTCCGGCTGACACACAAACAGGAAGCTCCGCTGTCATTGTTGTCGCCGTCCTTTTCCAGATGTTAAATTGACAGATGCGCTCTGTATGTTCTGATTTAAGCATGCTTTTCCCCCACTGAGTGTACAATACATAAAAATAACACTCACGATTAGACTGGAGGACCCATGCAGGCGTGAGGCAGAGAAGGCCTTCTGTAGCGACACAGGAAACTGCGGAGCCACAGAGGAGAGACGGACTGCATGAGACGTGCACCTCCGTTCCGACAGAAATCATGCTGAGCAGCTCGCGGGACTGGAGGCTGCTCCCTGCTGACTGCTGTGCCTTTCTGTGTCTGTTTCAGTTTACTGAGAGAACATTCGATTGACGGCACCGGCTGGGCCCCCACGAGGACACTGAAGGTAGAGTGTCCTTTGCCCACAGCCTCCCTGGATGCCCCTCCGTCGGCAGCCAGCCTCCTGTAAGGACAGCGATGTCCGCCCTGTCGCATCTGCACGGGTGGACGGGCCCACGCTGCCCGCCCGCCACCGCCCGCCTGGGGCCGCTGGCCCTGCTCAGCTCCTCTGCCCCCACTTCTCTTCGGTTGGGGGCGGGGATGGGGGTGTCAGGTCACCTCCTCTCCCCTCTGCCCTTTGCCGTTGGTGCCTCGGTGGTTTTGCTGCTTCTATGCTTGTCTTGCTGCTCGCCCCGGTCTTTGATAGTCGTCTCCCCCTTTAAGCAGTGGAGACTCGCCAGGGGTGGGTAGGGACGGAGGAGGGAAAGGCTGGATGTTCTGTGTCTGCTCTGAGTTACACTGGACAGAGGAGGGGTGGCAGGGTGCAGCCAGGTGTGCTGCACGGGGGCCCCTCTGCCGGGGCAGGGGGTGGAAAGCGGAGCCACAGGGACTACATGAGTGGCCCCAGGTGCTTCTCCAACACGGCTTGAGTGGCTTTCAGGGGTGCGTGTTGCGGGCACCCACATGAGGCCGCCGGCGGTGCGTCTCCTCAGAGCCTGTGTCCATGGTGCTGCCCAGCGGCACCTGCAGCTTCTTGCCATGCCTGACCTTTTGTCAGAAGGAGTCAGGACTCTTGGCCAGTGTTCACCTAGGAGTGAGCAGCTACCTGACTTGTGCCATCTTTGATTGAGTAGCGAACTGGTCCCACACAGTCGTAGCCTCTGCCTGTCTGCTGAGGGATCGATCCTGCCCAGAAGAGCGATCGCCTGGGACTGGCTTTGGGGGCAGCCGTGTTCCCAGCCTGCACTTCAGCACAAAGGCGTGGTCTTCTGAGCCAGGCCCGTCTTCCCTGGTGACCGTCCTGCTGCTCTTACACTGATGGTCCCACCTTTCAACCTGAAAGGGCCGTGGGCGTCCAGTCAGCCTGTTTGTGAAGCTCTGAGAGCCATGTGGCATATCATGCGTGCCGTCTCCCTGCCTCTCTCTCTCGTAATGTTCTTCCACACATGTCCACTTTGGCTCAGTCAGGCATGGATTATAAACGCTGTCCCAACTAAAACCACTCGTAGGTCTAAGTCTCTGCCAGGTGCACAAAAAGCGAGCAATGGCTGGTAACAGAGCTGCTGCGCTGGATGCTGTCCCCCAGGTTGCAAGGGGGAGCCTGAGATTGACTTTCTAGGCCCTTTTTTTTTTTTTGCGGTACGCAGGCCTCTCACTGTTGTGGCCTCTCCCGTTGCGGAGCACAGGCTCCGGACACACAGGCTCAGCGGCCATGGCTCACGGGTCCAGCTGCTCCGAAACATGTGGGATCTTCCTGGACCGGGGCATGAACCTGTGTCCCCTGCATCAGCAGGCGGACTCTCAACCACTGCGCCACCAGGGAGGCCCTAGGCCCTACCTTTTTAAATAACTCCTGCAGAAAACTGACCTCCTCCACTATATTGCTGACTTAACTGGTTCATCTCTTAGAGACCGTCCCCACCTGAAACTTGTTTTCGTCTTTCTTTCTCATTTCAGGATGTTGTTTGGGGATTAAACTCTTTGTTTACTGTAAGTATGTTGACCAGAATCCCAAGTTTTTCTTGATTCCTCTGCCTCCTGGTTTTAAAGATCGCATCAAGGATAACATGAGGGAATCAAAACCAGCGGTGTGGGTGCACTGAACCCCTCTTTTCTTTGGCACTTTTGTGAATCAGAAGAGCAGTGAGACAAGAACTGAGGGGGCTTTGGAGCGACACTCTGGGAGGCCCTGAGGCCGGGAGGGGCGGGAGCAGAGCGTCCCCACTTCCGCCCGGCTGTCGTGGCCGCCTTGCTCCCGGGGGCCGGCGCGGCCCAGCTCCACTCGCTGTGGTCTCCCCCACGCAGGCCCCCCTCTGGGAGCGCCTGGCCCACCTCACACCGTCTGCTGTCCCCGGCAGCCAGTCCACAGCTTCCTTCGCGCCCAGGGTCCAGGTTTGGGAGAAGGAGCGTGTAGTCACCAACCTTTAGGCTTTTTACAAACCCAGAACCTTAGAATTATTCTCTTAATCAGTGAAGTTTGCTGTCCTCAGAGAACAGCACCTCGCAGGCAGGGGCTGGAGGGCGGGAAGAGGCGTAGGAGAAGGGGAAAGGGGGAAAGCTGGGATTTGGATTTTTATATAGTATCATTTGTTCCTTTGAGTTTTGGCTTTTTGATCATAAAGAAGCTTTGAAAGAAATAAGCTTCAGGGACTGTCTCTGGGGGGGAAAAAAAAATCTCTGCTACTTTCGGTAAAACCTAAGTCCCCCCATGAAAACCAGCCCATCCTGGACAGCCCCCAGGACGGCAGGACTGCTCCCTCACCCTGCCGTCCTCAGCCAGTGAAAACCAGCAGAGCAGAGCCTCAGAGGAGACCCTTAAGTGCCTGCCCCTCCTGCCTTCTCGGCTGATGTCGCCGGGTGGTCCGGTAACACCTCCTGATTTCGGGACCTGCCGTAATCTCCGGGAGAAGGCAATACCCAAGGGGTACCGGGCCATCTGGACAGTTTTCTGCTGGTCTCAGCTGTTTTGTTTTGATTGTTTTTGGCTTTTCCATTGAAGTGAATGAAGTTTTACTTCTGGAGATGCAGAGGCTGGAGCGTGATTTAAAACCCGCCTGGCAGTTGTGCTGCTTTTCTTTTGAAGGACATCTGGTGGGTCCCCATCTCTCCAAGCACTCCAAACCTTCCAAATTCTAAAGAGCCCATCAAACTTGCTAATGAAGTCTATAACGGTTATTCCAGCTCACATATTCATTTTAGGTAAAATACATGGTAAAGAAGATGAAGAATGCTGTATGTCTGGTGTAAGTCTTTATATGCACCGGGATTCTCATATAATATGTGCTTTATATTTTTGCCTATTTCTGGGACTTGGAACTGATTTCCCAGCTGTTAATGATCATAGAGATTTATAATTTTTCCTGGCTGTATTTGTCACATATTGATCACACCCATATTTATTTCCAAATCAGGAATACAATCCCCAGATTAAACATTTCTCCTCAGGAGAAATAACAGTTGTCTTTACAATGATCCATCAATGGCTTTGGAAAGCAGTGACTCATCATAACAAATGTTTCTACCCTGACCTTTAAGAAGAGGAATAGGTAGTATAAAGGAAATACATGGTCTTCGATCTAAAATCCGTCGTTATTCTTGCGGTGGGGGGGCGGGGAGTAGCATTCCAGGGCTCTTCTAAGGTGGAAAGGGTCTGGTGCTGGTTCCCTGGGGCCAGGGAGCCCTGGCCCCAGTGGCACCATCCTATGTTGTTAGGTCGGGTTGCAGACGTCCTTCCTACTGGATTGTGAGTGCCGTGCTTGTGGAGGTGAGTTAAAGGTGAAGGGAGAGTCTAGGCAAAGTCAGAATAGAAACATAGACTTAGAAGACAGAGTTGTTAATCACAAAATAAAGGAGAAAATGAATTTTTAAGGAAAAATTAATAGGATTTTTATTTAGAAATGCTCATAATAAGAGTGGTTTGTCATTCCCCAAGTATCAAAACTAGCCTTAGAAATTAGTGTGATCGCTGTTTCCTCACCAAAACGTTGGATAATCGTGAGTAAACACATCCCTGCCTTCTTTCAGTGGACCGTTAATCACCGTTCTGAAAAAAGTATTTCACGTTCAGTGCTCCTACATCAACAGGAACTTTAGTTCTCAGGAGTTTTTTCAACTCTCTAGGTCGTTCTGTCATTTGCTGATTAGGTTTCTGTTGCCTGCTTCATAAAATGAAGACGTGCAACAGCAGAGAAACAGATTCTTTCCATTGTTTACTTTGAGCTTCTCTCTTTTTAAGGATCTTTTGAATTTTGATGACCCACTGAATATTGAAGCTGCAGAACATCATTTGCGGGACAAGGTAAGCTAGTAACAGGAATATTTTAGGTTCATGTATTTGGTGAAAAGATAATTACTGCCCCTTGATTAAATAAGTGTGAAACTGAGAATGGTGACTAGAATTGAACTAGAATTAAATCCCATTGAATTAAATGGGACTAGAATTTAAAGCAATTTATGAATGATGTATTATAATAAATGTGAGTGGTCTCAGAAAAGTGTTTGACCCAAAGTCAAACAGAAGTGTTTTTAGGTGTGGTTTCCTGGTAGAGTTCAGTATGAGTGATCTACAACAGGCGGCTGTCGCTTTACCGCATGATGGCGGTTTACCGCATGATGGCGTAGGAGCACAGAAGGGAGAACGAACGAGGGGTGTTACCGCCCCCCACCCCACCCCCTACCCGTCCCCTCTGCCGCCACCCAGCGGGCTGACCGCCCTCCACAGCTTCCCGGAGCGCAGGCGCACGCGAGCCCACAGCGATGGGATCGTGTTTTGTTGTCGTTGTTCGTGTATTTTCGCTTTTTCCCTCCAAGTCAGTGCATAAACTATCACTCGTTCATTTTAGGAGCTGTTGAATAATATCCCGTGGCTCTACCGTACTTTTCTCAACCATTCTCTTATGGCTGGGCACTCAGGTTTTTCCACGGGATTATTTTCCAGCTACAGACAGCGCTGCAGTAAATGCCCTGTGTACACCCATCCTTGCAGTGTGCGGGCACAAGGCACAGGGTCTGGGGCAGGAGCCCGGGAGGCGGCCGAGCGTGGCTGAGGTGAGGCTGCTGGAGGTTGTTCGGAGCTGGTCGGGCCTAAGCAGACAGCTCTGTGGCGCTGACTCCGTTTAGTCACAGGACCTCACGTTTTGTTTTCTGAGCCACATTCCCTGCGAATCCTTGCCCCGCCCAGGAGTCAGCCACCTAACGCTGTTGGAGCTGTTGGATCGGCTGACGTGGCTCTGAACGTAGGACGTTCTAAAGGCCATCAAGTTGGTTCTAAATACCGTGCTTAATGTTGAGGTCAGCTGCTTCTGTACATGTAAGACCTACTGTGTACCAGAGCACGCGGGCGTTTTAAATGTGCCACGTGTGGTGTTCACCACAGCCTACCTTAGGGCCCTGAAGGGCAGGCAGGAGGGCCCCCAGCACGTGTCCCGGCACGCGGGGAGCAGAGAGCCAGGCGGTGGCCCCGGAGGGTCAGCGGGTGCCTCTGGTCGGGCGGGCAGAGGAGGCCACGTCCTGCTGAGCAGGCCGGGAGGCGGCCGAGGTCTTCAGTATCGCCTCTCCGGCCTTTGGCAGTCAGCCATCTGCACCCTCGGGGCGGCCCTGGCGGGAAGGAGCCTTTGTTTGTCCGCCATGCTGACAAGACTTGCAGGCGGGCCCCCAGGAGGCTCTGTTCATGTTCTAACTCCACCTCTCATTGTCATTGTTCCCGACAAGGCTGTCCACACTCAGCACTAACTAACTGTTGTAGCCCCTGTGGACTAAACCTTGTCGGGGAGGGAACACCCTTATAGAGCCAGGGGGAGAAAAAACGTGTTACGATTGTTTACTTTTTATTGTTCTCGGAAGGGTGTTTCCTGCTCTTTGTATGAAATAGGAAGAGACTTGCAGCTTACAGGCAGACTTCATTTTATTGTGCTTCGCAGATACGGGTGTTGCTGCTTTATGTCGGGTTCTCAGGGAAAGCCTTTCTGGTAAGATGTGAGTAGAGGCCGGTTGTGAACCAAGTGGACCCCAGGCGGGAGTGTTCCAGAGGCCTCTGCAGCAGCGCAAAGGCCCTGAGGCAGGGCTGCGCTCCTGGTGTTCAGGGATGCTTCAGAGGCCCCGTGTGACTGGGGCAGGGCAGCAGGAGGGCAGTGCTGACGTGGTGTAGCGGCAGCCCTGCGTGGCCCTCCAGGTGCCAGGCAGTGTCGTCATACCTGCTCCCAGACACACTTGTTTCCCCGACACACTTGTTTCCCCGACAACCCACGAGGGAGGGACTCTTGCCCCTGATTTGCTGCTGAGGGAGCAGGGCCACCAGGAAGTGAAAGACTTGCCGGGAAGGGGCGGAGCCCAAGATTTGAACGCGGGTGGTTTGGCCCCAGAGTTCGTGGTCTCCTCACTGATGAGAGCAGAGGGGATTAAGGCTGAGCTGAGGCACCTGTGGTGCTGGGTCAGACGTTGAGGGGTTGGGGGTGTCTGTGGGATCGTCACTCCACATCCCGGGAGCTTTGGCCGCGGCTGCCTGGAGCCGATGGTATGTCGGCAGCTGGGTACTGTGGAGGTGACGTTGTGAGAGTCTTGCTGAGGGCAGCCAGGGCTTCTGTTCAGCCCGGCTGCGGGCAGACAGCTGTGAGGGAGCCTCTGAGCACAGTCCTGGGCCGCCTGGTGGCGACCACAGGGGTCCCCTTCTCCCCTTTCCTTGAACCCGCCCCACCCTGAAAGAGTGACTGCAGCGTGGCCCAGGAGAGCAGGCCCGTTCTGCCCGCGCCTCCCAGGGTGGCCCCTGCAGCAGGCAGGGCCCGGGGCTGTGCCTCTTGCTGGATGGGACTGAAGCCTGGGACCCTGTGTGCAGCTGTGGGTGGGAGTGAGAGGGTTGAGAGCCCGCCTTCAGGTCACAGGCTGTCCCGCCACCAAATGCGGGCGGGTGTTCTGAGGTGGACAGTCTCCAAGTCCCTCGTGGCTCAGACAGTCCCAGGGGCCCTTCCCAGTCCTGTAAGACCAGGGAATTTTGCTCCTGACCTTAGAGAGAAAAGACCTGGGGACACACTTGGGGTGTCGGCTCAGATCTGAGGTGGCTTTCCCTCCTGCGCTAGCCTGGGAGATACCTGCATCCATACAGCGTTTTTTACCCCTGAGGGATCAGCCCAGGCCCCCAGGTGGCCTCTGCTTGATGCCCAAGGAGGGCCCTCTGTAGCAAGCCCACCGCTCCTCTCGGGCAGGGTGGTCACCCTGATGGCGGGCTGCACTTGGGCCATAGGTAGCAGGGTCCTGGGGAGACAGATCAGGACGCAAGGGTCTTCCTGAGAGCCACAGCCAAGGCTCATGCCCATTTGTGGTCCAGAGTCCCAGCCGGACCCGCATCGTGACCTTGACCACACTGGTGGATCTCACTCTCCCCGTCCGCACAACGAAGGGTCTTCGGTTCCCTTCCGCCCAGAGCTTGTTTGTGTCCCCTCCCGGCACCCAGAGTGGCAGGGAGGTGGCACTCAGCCCCGTGGGTCTCTGAGTCTCCTGCCACCTTGGCGACTGGAGGATTGGAGGCCGGACCCTGCACGCCCTCCCGAGAGCTGGCGGGGGCCCTTGGCGCGGGGGCACGCAGCTTGTCCCTGAAGTGTCGCCATGCGCTGACTCACCCCCCCCTTCCTCCCCTCTGCCCGATCCCTCTGCCCCACAGGAGGACTTCCGGAATAAAGTTGAAGACTACATCAAGTGCTACGCCAGATGACAGGAGGAGCGGGCTGCGCGGCCGTGGACTGTGCGCTACCCGCTTGTCTCCAGCTGAAACGAGAAGGGAGTCTTCTCCCGCCCCTGGCTCCCCTCAGTCCCGCTGGGCCGCCCCAGTCCCGCGACCATGCCGTCCCGAGGAAGCACCTCTTCACGACCGCCCATTGTAGACAGAGAGTTCCGCATAAATACAGCCAGAAAACGTGCTTCGGGTCCTAAAGAGTTGTCTGCTTACCTTAACATGTTTACTTTTTTGAAACTGTACTGTATAGGCTGTTAATGAGATTCTTGAGAAGTTGTGATGAACTCAGCATTGAGGCTAGAGCTTGCTTCTCCCCTTTCCCCACAGTCAGTCCCTGCCCAGGCGATGCTAATGATGCGCTCAGTGTAGCTCGCAGACGGCGGCCAGAACCCGCTACAAACCGTGATTGGATGCGAATTCCCTTCGCTCCTTCCACGAATGTTGGCCCTGCCCAGATGTCGTGAAGCTTCCCAGAATGCATATGGTCGTTCACTGTAGATCTCTTACTGAAATGCGTATTTTATTTAATGTAAGTATATTTTGGAACAGATTTGTAATTTGTACAATTTAATGCTTTAATTATTTTTTTCTATTCTCATTTAGTTTGTATTTTCACTGTATAGAGCAGACAGAAAGATGTTGGGTCAAGCAACTATTGAAGAGAAATACAAAGAAAAATATAAAAGACACAGTATTCGTTCTGTCCAATGCAACGAGAATTTGGCTTTTGAAAATCAGCTCCTGTTTTCAGGTCCAGATGGGGCAAAGAAGTTTAGGGACCCTTTGAAGCTAGATCTGGATGAATTAAAAAAAAATAATAATAATAGCAGGGAGCCCTTTCTCACATGCTGCCCAGAGGAAACTGGCTGGAGCGCAGCCCCGCCAGGGGCTTGGTGTTTCTGCCGTGGTCATGTGTCTGTGAGCCACTGCGCAAGAGAGCCAGACCCTCGTGTTCCGGGGACGGGAGAGATACCTCAGGAATCGGCCCAAACAATGTCTGATGCCACTGAGACCGCCCCTGTGGCCTTCTGAGTTCCTCTGGTTCTGGGCCCTGTCTCGGGGTTGAGTCTCCCAGGCCTTGGAGGGCCAGGAATCAGTGGCACCACTCAGCCATTCCTGGGTCAGGTCAGTGCACTTCAGAGTCAGAACACCGAGGAGAGGTGAGTGGCTGTACTACAGCGTTCGACATCTGAACCCCTGGAATCAAATGCAAAATAAATATCTGTATGGTTTCGTCTGCCACTCACCTAACACGCTCCAGTTACCTGACAAGCCAGCCTCCTTAGGCCTCTGGATCTCCCCCCCCCCCCCCCCGCCCA